CATTTTAAGTTTTAGTCTTTCAGAACAATCTGCATTTTTATGCTTTCCCGTAACTTTACAGTACTTCAGAATGATTTACTTCCATATGCTTTGAAGTTTCAATGTTACTTTGACGTCTGTAAAATTTTCCATACTAACCAAATCCTCTAAAACTATGTAATTGCTTCTTAATATTATGATCACCTTCTTCGAATATAGCATGGTATAAAATATACACATTACTAATTTTTCACAATCAGAATATCTTCTGCTTTAGCAAACATTTTATCAAGTTAATGTAAAACGTATGTATAAAAAAAGTTTACCTTCTTTTTTTTTTTAATTAAACATTGCTTTTAATTGCATAAAATAAATCAATCAAAACATTGAAGTACATATTATTGCTTCAGCTATTTTTCTTACTTTTAATTCAAAAGCATCTTCGCTTCTTAACTTTTTTGTTCCCTTTATTCTATGATCTGACATCAGCTTATTGTGAAAATTGATAGCTGCTGCTTAAATTGAAGAAAATTTGCTTGGTAATCCCACTTCTGATAATCTGTAGACTTTTCAATTTGTTTACTATCCCACTTCTGATAATTTGTAGAGGGCGGCATAAGTTAAATCTATGGGGCTTCTTGATTACAAAGACATTTTAATGGAACTGAACTAACAGCAAATACAGATATGACGCACAAAATGCAAGATACTAATAGAAAATGGCTGACGTCTTATATCTAGTTTTTGAATTTTAATTCTTGTTGCCAACTCTAAGAAAGCATTCCTAATAATAACTTTAATATGATCAAATTATATATTACTCTGATATATATGATCAGAGTAATACATTAATTTGATCACATTAAAGTTATACTATTAGCCAATTATTCAATTTTTGTCAGTTCCTTCACTTATGTTACAAAATTTTAGAATGAAATGCTTTTCTCCTTAGCATACAGAAGGGAGTGCAAAATCTTCAGTTGTCCCCAGGTGCTGAAAACTCTAGCTACGGCTCTGTGCATCATACACTGGGCTAGCACCACACACTCCTGATGCAATCTCTGTGGATCCTGAATTCTGCTGCCTAGTGCCTTCCTAAATTCTAAAATTTTGCCATTTATAGATTTTGTTACTCAATGTGTCACTCAATTCTAAAAATTGTGTTGCACCGGCTCTGTAATCGGCCCTTACCATATATCATTTCATATTTATTCTGAATGCTCATATTACTAAAGAAATCAAATTAGCACCGTTTCCCATACATTCTAAATGTGTTTAGTTTTTCATAACAGAAATATTTAATTAATTCAAACATTCTAAAATGAAGAGGAAAGTATTGAAGAGAGAAACCAAATACATAAAGAGAAAGAAAATTATTTTTCAAAGATATGTGCAGTTTTTATGTAAATTATGCAGTTCTTTATAATTTCAGCCTTTGCTAATTTTCTGTTTCCTCACTAGAATGAAAATCACTTAGATAGTTTTTAAGGTAAGGTTTTTTGGGGTTGTAAGACAGAATTTGCTTTTGACCTCCACTTGCATGCTGCATTAGTTCCTACCAGCTCTGGTAATTTCTAATAATTCATCTTTGCATTATGGCTTTAGGTATTTGAATTTGTTATGCGATAATTACATTATGACAAGTTACGAAGTGTTACTGAGCCAGCTTAGGTTAAAATTAAATTGTGTAGTCCACATTTTTGGTTTGAATTTGGTTTTTCCTGTTTAATTGGATCATTATAAGCTGTAGTTGATTCTGCTAGCATAAGAACATGTCTCTACATTCTAAGGTCTTTTTAAAAAAGTGGTTTATTAATAACTTTAAACTTTGTAGTTACTTTCAGACATAGTGATAATTTACTTCACATCTATCAGTGGTTTGGGACTATTTAACTTTTATCAGATAAAGTAAAACCTCATAGGTACATAGTCGATAGACTGGCAAGTTAGGAGATAAAACACTCAGAAACTAGTGGGAATATTGTTTGCATATTGAAACAAATTTCTAATTGTTTGTAAAGAGGCACAAAGAGAAGGAAATTGGTGTAAATTAACCAGAATATCTGAAAAGGCTTCAAATTGAAAAGATGCATAAATATTTTTGTTGAGTATTGTTACTACAAAATGCAAGTGTTTTCTTGCTTTTAATGTTATAAATTACATGTATTTTAAACTGTGGCATGTTAATAGATTGTGTGTAATAGTGCTTTTTTAAAAGATAAATTTAATAAGAGGCCATGTAAATCTATAATGACTAAGGGTATCTAATTAGCTAATTTAATTATTTGTAACTAACTGACTGCCTTTAAAAGTTATCTCTGCATATTAATGGGAGTTATTGCCTTTTATTAATCTTTATCGTGGTCACAAGATATAGCACAAAAATGTAAAAATTAATGTAAAACTTAATTCTTTTTATCTAGTGATACTTAAAATAATACAAAACAAGTTATCACCTCTGGTACTTTAGTAGCTTATTGGAACCTTAAAATATATAAACTGGGTTACAACCTCAGAAACTCTTCATGAAGTTATGACACTAACTGCATCAGACAGGCAGATCACAATTAACTTTCAAAACTTGACCAAGCGGGCCTACATCAGGCTTTCAGGTTTGTTCTAATCAGCAGCCCTCTCTGTAGACAAGCAGCAGCAGTGGCAACAGCCATTCTTCTGTAATGAATTATGCTGATTATGATTTTACTCCTCATTTTAACCTATGCCGTTTGACATAAAATCTACCTGCTATTTACTAAACCTTTAAACTGAGCAAGACAAAATAAGACATGAAAAATATCAGCATAAAGCTAAATGTTAGCAAAACATTAATAAAATATCACTAATCTTTCGAATATGTCCAATTATTATAAGGGTAAAATATTTAATGCTACTTGATAAATTTTATAAAGTTGATTTTATTCTCAAATTTGTTTTATAATTATTGTTATTATGTTTAATAATAATGTGTTATACTTGTGGATCTATTTTATTCTTAGGATGGTATCACAAAAGTGAAGTCAGGCATAGCTAATATCTTTAATTGAATTTATTCAATTCCCATTTGTTGTTGGGGGCCTTAATTTTTTTCATTAATGGTCCATGCGCAGAAAGCTTCATTTCTGCACATGGTAATTAAGTACTTAATTTTTATGTGCAGAAATATGTACAAACCTTGTTTTCATCATGGAATTTTTATATTTGCACAGAAAAATAAAATTGCCATCAATGTGTACTTTTTTTAAAACTGAATTTTAGCTATTCAGGAGGTATTTTTTTGGATTCAAAAGGAAAGTATTCTGAATGAAATTAGTGTGTTTATTAAAAAATCAAACTATATTATTGGCCATGTAGGAAATGATTCCGAGTATTGTTAACCATTGATTTTAGTTTAAATTTTTTATTTATTTATTGCCATTAAAACTTTGATTTTTGGTGTTTTACATAATCAAGAGCAGTTGCATCTCCTTCTGGGAGGGGTATTCTTTTTTTTTTTTTTTTTTTTTTTTAAGCATGTTGTAGTAAAACAATTTAAAACTCTATCCCTTGTCCTTCCCCACCCCCCCAAAAAAAATTTCAAAACTTCTGTTGTCACATTAAACAACATAATAAATCAAATGAAAGAAACAATCAAGTTAAAATTTTTTAAGTAAAATATTATTTCAAGTCAGAGAATTCATTGAGAGATTGGATCATTGGAAAGGGAACTGTGCCTATACTTTATAATGCTGAGCTTAAATATTTGTTTTGATGGCTTGCTTACTGCTACAGTGTACAATGAAAATTGATTGTGGACTGATGGTAAGATATAGTCTTTAATAATTGTAGTGACTTTGAAGAAGGGAATATAAAAATATGTCTATTACTTATATGTTGGCAGAGAGGGAAGAAGATTAATTTCGCTAATCGAAAACTGTGATGGATCAAACTTAGGTCAATAGCTTTTTGTAGACTTGTTTTAGTTTAATACTTCTTCAGCAGATTTTGATGAAAGAATATGTGTTATTGAAAATTTTTTCCTAAGCCATTTTCTCAAAATTGTATACAGTCAAAAGTCTTTAATCCGGACGTCCATAATCCGGAATGATCTATAATCCGGACCTCAAAGCTACAACTTTCGGCGCATGTGTAAACGCAATTGCGCAAAGGTATTTTGCTCATATACGCTTACGCATGCGCATAATACGTTTACGCATGCGTGTTTAATGTATAACGGACGGTATAAGCTATGCTAAAATTATCTAATTATCTATTTCAGTTAATGTTGCAGATTGCGTTGTTCCTTAATCTTCTAATTGGATCCGGCTTGTTATTTTTTACAGACTGTTAAACCAATTTTATAAAACTAAGCTTGAGCTTTCGATTATGTCAAAAAGAATTTCCGATTCTATAACTGCGAGAGGATCTACAAAGCGAAAGCATGTTTTGATGTCCATCAAACAAAAAGTGGAATTGCTGCAAAAATTGGATAAAGGCATATCCTTTGCTTCTCTAACCATTCCAAATCTGTTTATCAATTTCACGCTGCTCTTGGGGGGGGGGACGTCGCAGCGGCGTAATGAACTGGAAGTTGATCTGTCAGAACTATCCTTATCTTCAAGGCAGATGTTTTTATTTTATTCGGCTTATAATTCCTTACTAAATGTAGTATTTCAGCTCGATATACTCCGTCTTTGATATGATTTAAATCAAATTCCTCGTCATTATAAATATCACGAATACACATCAAATAGTTTTCTGGTTGCAAGATAAAAAAGAAACCTTTTTTATCTGATTCTGTTTTTTAATGTTTTAGATGTTTAATGGTTTGGTTTTCGTATGTATTAATTTTTTAAAACATGTTAAACTTTTTGGAGCAACAGCTCCTGGTATCTTTTAGGCGAGCTTACTACAATTTCTATTTTACTTATTTGGCAGCATATTGCGCAAGATGTTTTCTAGACCAAATTGATTCTTCAATATTGTAATTACTGCTTTGCTTGATATTATATATATATATATATATATATATTTTTTCTTTCCAGTTCACAGTAATCATGGCAGAGAAATCTGACAAGAAAAGTGACAAGAAATCATCCAAAAGTAACAAAACAGATAATGAAAACAGTTCATTTCCTGTGGACTCTAAAAAGCCTTCGATGAAAACTGCCAGTGATGTTATTTCCAGATTATTATGGGATGATTCTCTTCCACAGTCAAAATTCGTAGTTGGCTATTTGGATAGATTTGATGGTATTGTTGAGAAAAAGTTTGATTCCCTTGATTGGCGGGATCCATCTGTTGTTGATAATTATACTTTAGCTTTGCCAAAACATCGTATTCAGTATTTTAAATATAAAAATAGAAAAGTGTGGGACAAAAGGACACGGAAAGATATCATATTTGGATCAACTGGATATCCGTTAAGTATTTATGATTTTATGTCTTCTGTTGATCAAGAACTTTCAGATTTTCATGAGGAAGGTCTCAATAGCACAAATAAAGAAGCTCAAGGTGAATCTTCAGATACAGAAGGCAGTGAAGAAGAGTATGATAACTCTGAAAGAGCAAACTTCTTCATTGCTGCCAGAATTACAAATGAAGACACAATCAAGAATTTGAAAGAAGTTTCAGATTACATCAAAGCTAGAGATGAACATTTAGGTAGCTGTTGTATTCCTCCTGAAATGTATCATTTGACACTTTCCATTCTGAAATTAGGCAGCCCAAGTGAGATTTGTGAAGCCATTTCAGCTTTGCAGTGTTTGGCATCAAAACATTTACCCTTAGCTGTCATAAATCTTGATGGATTAGATAATTTTCGCCATAGGGTTCTGTATTCATGTGTTGAAGCAAATGAAGAATTAATAAATTTGAGAACTGCTCTTGTTGATGAGCTAGTATCCAGGAAATTAAATATAACAGATAAATTTTCTTTTGTTCCACATGTTACAATAGCTAAGTTAAATCGACCTGCCACACGATTAAGACACAACAAATATATAGATCAGTATTTTTATCTGAAGTTTGAAGACAATGAATTTGGAATTGCAGAAATAAATACTTTATATTTATGTGAGATGGGAGAAGCTCGTAGAGATGATGGGTTTTACAGGTGTGCAGCAGAAGTAGCTTTAAACTAAGTACAAATGGCTAGTCATGTTTATGAAGAAAAAAGTTTCTGAAGTTCTTCTTAAATAAGGATATAATAATAGAAATTGCAGATTATATGTTTCATATGATTCATTCATCTCGTGTCAGAAGACAGTTCATTATGTTGTAAGAAATGGAGTGAATATTGTTGTAAGTCTTTTAATAATGTGTAAATCCTCTTGGCTCTGTATTAGTCATAGCTTAATGAACTTAGTGTGCTGATATTGCAATGCTTGAACTGCTGATATTTTGCTATGAATACAATTTTATATTTGTCTTATGATTTATTGTTTGAAGCAATGTATGTTGTTATTAAAGTATTAATTTTAATGTATTTTTAAATAAAAGTATTTTTAAATAAAAAACTGAATTTTTCAATGAAAATCTAATTGTATTTATTTTCAAAATTATTTGAATTGTTTAGCGCATTTTCTGCCACTCGTGCAGTGGTGTGTGATTGCCATTATTGCTGAAGAGCCAATTGTGCTCTGGAGGGGGTGATATCTCAGGTGCCAGTAACGTGCTGTTGTGGGAAAAGCATCATCTTATTGTTGATTTTCAATTCAATCCACGTTACATTTTGAATACGTATGCTGTTATTGGCGTGGTGTGAAGGTTAGAAACTAGTTGTAAACAAAGTTTCATTTCATGCAAAGATCATACACGAATAACATTCTGAAATATACATTTTGCAATAATAGCTTTGTAACTATCTTATAATTAATTCATTTGTTTTATATATGTATTTGTTTGTGATATAGTTTCATATTAAAATAATGTGTATTTTTTACTTATATTGATTCTTTTTTAAATGCCATGTGCCAGCGCACAATGCGGTATCGCAGAAATAATTCTATCTGTAGTGCCTATCACGAGCTGGTGCTTAGTCATAAAATTCTATGCTTTAAGGCTTGGCAACCAATGTAGTATACATAATAATCTTTTATTTCCTCTTTTAAAATGTATTTCATACAATAAGTTAGTTGGTGCAGTCTGTTTTTATGACACGGCATTAACTATCAATACAACCTCACATGACCAGCAATGAAAGTGTTAACTTATTTATGTATTTGCTCATTTTAATAAGAAATTAATATACATCATAAGCAGTCAGTTTTCACAAATAATAAAAGGTTTTATTAATTTTCCACTTCATAAACATGCTCTTGATATTAATAGGGATATCTTATTTTAGTACTGCTTTAGAAATGCAATATAAATTATTATTATTACTTTAGTTGGTATAAAGCAACATTTATAATTTTAAAATATATGTGAAAGTTAATAATTTTGCTGTGATTTATTCCAGTCTGGAATATTTCATTAAATATAATAATTAACAATAATGTTGGTTTTCAATCAAATATTTTTCATGTTGCAAATATAAGACTTTGGTTTTTCAAGGTTTCTTTCAAAAAAAAACCCCCCCCCCCAAAAAAAATCAAAATTTCACATAAATTTGAATATTAATTTTTTTGAAAAATCAATTTTATAAAATAAATTACTTATATTTGAAGAACTGGAAGTTTTTTAATGTCAGTCCCAAGACAATTTTAAGTGCATAATGGAATTATTTGAGATTTTTATTTTGTTATACAATTGAAAAGATTTACTTATAATTCCTGTTAATTTACAGTAGTTAAGAATTATTGTTTTATTATTATTATTTCATTATCATATTATTTACATCCAAGACTTATCATAATCTAATAAGTTATATTATTTCTTAATATTTTAGTTCTAATGTTATTTTAATCTCTCATCTCAAAAAAACATATGTATTCTGCTTATGATTTTGTAAAATATTTGTAGTTCATGTACTGAAAGCAGTTTGATGAAAAAAAGGAGGGGATGAGTACTTTTATAAAGAGATTATTTTGCCTCTTGCTTGTAAGCACTTCTCTTATATCTTCCTCTTTTCTTGCCTGATTCTTTTTATTTCCTAGAAAGCCATTGTTGCCTCTTAAAACTGTATTTGTTTTTTGTTATTCTTTGTGTTAATTATCTGTAGATTTATATAAGTGGACATAACATGTGAGATACAAAGACATAATAGACAATTTCCAAAACTAGATAAATAACTCTAGGAAATCTTCTTTTGCAGTCTTTTATAGATCTTTAAACAGTCTTTGAAGTTTTGTTTTCTTTATATAATTAAATTCTATTCATTGTCAACTTCTTTCTATAGAAATAATGTTACTACGTTCTGGAGGAAAATATCTTCATTTAAGAAAATAGCACTTAAAACACACTGTATATGATTGTAAAATTTTGGTCGTTGCCATTCTCTACTCTTGCTAAAGAGAGATCTGTACCTGTTTGTCCTTGATTGAACTTGTCTAAATCTCTGCCAAACACAAGGCTGTTGCTAATTGTATGTTCTACTTTGGTGCATTTCTCTTCTGTTCTGAACTGCATAACACATAACTGTTTGAAAATGTGCATTTTATTATTAATGACAAATAGTTTTAAATTACTGATTTTATTTACTTAGATTTACTCAGTAGGATATTTCATTTAATAGCTGTTCATAATAGCTGTTAATGTGCATGTTCTTTTTATGCCTTATAGTATTTTCTGGTCATCTGAATTTCTGACATCATAAAAAACTAAGCCATTTTCTGCATCATATTCTTTGTCTGTCCTGTGAAATGGCTTTTTCTAACCCTAATGATTAGCCAGATAGCCATCAAATGCATTGCCATGGTCAAATAAACCATCCAGATCTAATTATTTTGCCCACTGCTGGAAAACTCTTGAGAGATTGAGAGCAGTTGAAATCTTATGCTTATCTAAGTCAAATCTGAATAATAATCTCAATTTAGGCAACAGTTACTAACAGTAATTAGATTCTCTCAGGTTTAGATATTGACTAGCTTGCAGTCATAGACTTGAAATTTGTCTACACCCAAAATGACTGTCTTCAAACATTGTGGCTGGGAAATATTTTTCAGTAATGATGTAACATGTTATCTACAGCTTTTAGTTAGTTATTTTTAGATGGCAGTCCCAAAATTGCTTGTTCTTTTAATCTTTAATCTTTTTTATTATTATTATTTTTTTTATTGCACATTTAGATTTTATTGATTCAGTCTTAAGAAATAACTAACTGAACGTGGGATCATGCAAGATCACATACTACTTAATTGCCATGAATTTTTTTAATCAGGAACAAATTGATTTTACTTGTATAATTGAATGATAAATAATTAATAAAAATTAAATTGAAAATTAATTGCTTCCTTCTCTGTTTTATTCTAAAATAATTGACTTAAAGTTATTAGCAAGCAACAGAATAAGGAAATTTCATAATTCTGTTTTTCAAATGTTAATAAGGAATTCATAATTCTGTTTTTCCAATAGTTCAATTCATAATTATTTTTTTCCCCTATGAGTAAATGTACTGTTACCTCGCATAGTCTGGATAATCGGTTTCACTAATATGCTGGACTAATTAATAATCTAAATACATAAAAAATTGATAACTGATTCCCAAAGAAAATTTGCTTTGTTTTTCAATAAATACAATTGATAAACTCGTATATTAGAAACAGTTTTTTTAAAACCAATGGTTTTTGTAATTCATTTTTTATTCTCTGATATCGATGACTAGCTAACTTTTTTTTTTTTCCTTTAGCTTATTCTCTTCAGATATTTGTGTGTAGTAATAAATTAGATTGTTTATGATATCAGCGGTCAATTCTCTCGTAGATGTTTCTAACATAATCGTCGCTGTCTAAGTTGTCATATGAATTTGTTGCTATATCGTTGAAGTCATATGATTAGCATAATCCTGAATGTTTGGTAAGATGACAGTTTTTGGCACTCGGAATAGTTTTCCTTTATTTATTTTCCCCTGTCCTTTGCTCCCTTTTTTCTTTCTATCTTGTTTTTCTCTTCATTCAGCTCATATTTCAATCTTTCATTATAATTCTAACTATGAAATTTGCAATTAAATTTGATACTTCCGCTACGTTCCATTTTTTGCTTTTCTGTCTTAGCATAACGTTAGGTTCCTAAATAGGGAATAGACTGTAATACAGTTTCCTACTCCCCGAACTTACCTTTTTTCTAATCCTTGTTTGTGCTGGTGCTCTAAACCTAATGCAAGCACACCTAAAAATTTTTCAAAGTGCTAAAATCCTGATCAGAGGTTTTTCAGCATCGTTTTACGCTCTGATTAAAAACAAATATTACTTTAACTGGATGTTATTGTGCTTAGTTTCTGGAACGAACAATCAAATTTCCTAATTTATTTTGCACTTATGTTAGGCTGGTGTAATGAATACCTCACTCACCACACTACATGTAGTACAATAGGTACTTTATTTTTAGGTGATAGGGCACCTAGACTTAAATTTTGCTCGCATTGTTCGTTGCATTTTAGGATACGCAACAATTATGTTACATCGCAGTTTCTTTTCTTTTTTTTCCCCCCCATATTCTCTTTCTGTCTCACCCCCATAATTCTTTTAAATCTAGTTCGGCCCTTTCCTTTTACTTTTTTATAAACTCACTTTTTTTATCTAGTCTTTAACCCTCCAACCAGCAAGGTCGTATACATGCGTTCGAAAATATTGATTCTTATACTTGCAATATTCGAAATATAAATATATGAATTCGAAAATACTGATTAGTTGCGATCAAAATGTTTGGTCCTCATACTGTCAAGGTGGCATATATATATACGGAAATCTCAATTTCGACACAAAATTGCAAATTAAATATGTATCTGATCTGTCTCGGAATGCCTGCCCTCTGCTCTTAACTTGATCTGACAAGTGATAATTGTCGTCTGTGTGGCAGAGGCGTAGCTAACGAGGAGCAAAGTTCATTTCATATTATTACTTAGGACACAACGTGGCCTGTTCCTCATCCTAGAAACCATCGTATTAGGCGAAAGACGGGAATCAGGCAAATTTGCCACATTGGAGAGCATTATTTTATTTCTGTCGCCAGTCTCACACTTACTGGTGACAAACTTTTTGGTTTCTCTCTCTCCACTACACGACCTGGGGTCGCCACTCCTGGTTCTCAAGTCTCATGTCGGAGTCCAACCTTATTAGCCTGAAGCTCTAACTGGTTGTCTAAAGTGCCCCTACAAGTATTATGTGGGCTGCAATTTAGGCTTTACACAAAACGCGGAGGACAGCGGATTTGAGCAATCAATGGCTCAGTCATTATTCTGCTACTGAGACTCTAGTTTGCGAATTTACAACCAATCACCGCTTAGTCCAACCGTATGAAACTATTTTTCCCTGGGGTTCTAGAACCTTCATGCTCATGTTTTTGTACCCAGAATCGTTACTGTCATTAGCAAAGTACTAAGCCAGTGTGTGCAACCCCAAGGGAAAACATCTGTCCTCAGGCGCAGCATCGAAATT